ATAAGGGTTTCTTATCTTGTTTTATTTTAAGTAACATACACATAATTATTTCTGGTTAGTTATATAAATATATCCAAAATTTGTATCCATATGTAGCCGCTATTATTCTTGTTAGTGTATCCCTGTTTTTGTATACCAATAAGTAGCTATGAAAATCTATTTACTATTTAATGGGTCTGGACGGTGACACCAATTAGGTTTCTTTTTTTGCAGAAACGACTCGATGCCCTCTTGTGTGTCTCTCAAAGACAAGGTGTCGATCATTTCCTGTTCACCCAATTTAAATGCCTCCTTAATCGGCAAATCCACCTGCCTATAATAGAATCTTTTACCATTCATAATAATTGCGCGACTTTTTGACATGATGCTTTGACAAATGTGGTCGACCTCCTTGTCTATATCTTCCTCTTTGCACACTTTAAAAACCAGCCCGTTGTCCTTTGCTTCGTTTGCTGTTAAAGGTAACCCTGTAAGCAGCATGTGACGTGTAACCATAGGGTGTACACAGCGTGCAATTGCAACACCCGGTGTCGAACAGAAAATTCCAACATTTGCTCTGCAATAAGTTCTAAAATATTCAGCCTAAATACAAATCCATTACCCAGGTGTAGCAAATTTGCAATTCGGTGTGCACACTGCAATATCGCACTGCGCAACTAACTGACAACCGGCCGCAAACGCCCCCGCTTTCACCTTTCCAACAACAGGCACGGGACAATCAATTATGGCAAACATCACCTTAGATGCTAAGTGAAAAATTTCATTGTGTACCTCAAGATTATTTTTCGTAGTCTGCAAGAACGGCGATTAACTATATAATATCGATTAACTGATCGTACCATTTCATTCAGATTATGACCGGCCGAAAAAAGTGGACCTTCCGAATCTAAAACAATCACCCGCAAATCGTTATTCTCCCAATCGGCCGATAAATGTTTCAAAAGCTCCCGTTCCATTGGAATTGAAAGCGTGTTTCTGTTAACAACTCAAAGATTAAAAAATGAATTCAAACATTTTCGTACCGTGTTTCGGGGCTAGCCAATGTAATCGTTTTGATTCCATTATTAAACGTCACCTTTGTTAGAGCCTTTGTCGACATAAATCTGTGCAGATTGCCATACTAAAAAATTGCAAGTGCAACAAATTGAAGAGAGAAGAGTGGGTCTTACTCCTGCTTTTTGTAGTATCGATTTTGCAAAGAAATTCATCGTACTTGAGTCGGTTACTTCACTAAACCATCAATAAATGAACATTTAAAATGGAAATTATTTAATGATTAAAATAAAATGTATGTTGTACATCAGATGGATAGTAAAGATAAAATTTATGGCCATTACGTTAAAAGGTTAAAAAATATTATTATGAACAGCTAATGCAACAGGTGAATCATGAGTGTATTTTGAGTTGCATAAGTTTAACTGCCACAATCAGCGGCGGGTTCTTTGAGGGGATACTCAGTAGCGGCGGCATACTTGTCACAAAATTCCTTTTTAATAATTAACGGTAAATTTACACATTTATTTAGTCTTTTTTCTAACTAGGGGGACCAAATATGAAGGCATGGTTTACACTGAAAGTTTCACTAGAACTAGAACTAAATTGTTGTGCATTAATGTACTAGTAGATTCATTTTATACTGTTATGTATGGTGGGTTGCGAGATGTGCTTTTATTTTCGTTTCGCCTTTGTAACTTATTATGAATTGTAGTTGTAGGTATTTTATTAGTTATTTAATTCTTCACAAACAATATAATTTACAAATATACAAATAGAAAATACCAATGTTAAGTTAAGAAGATTTTGAGCGACCTTCTAAACCCCCATACCAAAGATCATAGTGTAGTATGATCAAAGAGTAGCCATACTCTTTGATATGATCTTTCTTTGCCCATACGAAACAACGTCTTCTTGCTCAAGGCACGAGTGTCTGTCCGTGAAGGCTTTCCATAATTTCCTGAAGAGCCACGAGAGTTGCTATGACCCTCAAGAAAAAAACTTCGGAAAATACTCATGAGAGTTCTAAACATTTTGGGTGAAACGGGATGCAGCACCTAGGGCTCTCTGGGAGTATGAAATATTGTATAACGTTTTATTTAAGTTCCAAATTAATACTAGTATTCTTACGCCATCTATATATTTCCTTTGTAAACCCGGTTAGTTTAAATTACAGCATTGTATAAAAAATTCAATGATTACAGTGAACTCTATACAAGACAGTGGTGACAATTGAGCCCGTCCGCCATGTTGTGGCAAATTCAAAAAATAGAAACCTTGATTATGCGATGTGTATAATTAATAATAGAATGTATCACGATAAGGAATTTTATTTGCTGGTTTTTAATTAATGTAAGATATATTTGAGTGAAGGTTTTCTCTTGCGATTTGCTTTTACCGACGCGTTTTGGCGGATATATTGACGGTTTACGGCCCTCTTACTTCTAGCTTATTCTTTTCTTCGTTATTGTCTACCTGATTATTGTTACCTACATCACTATTCTGTGTTGGAACCGTAGAATTTTGGATTTCTCAATATTGCACAATGTCGAATCAATCGCCTAATACCTACATTACCTGGTGACCTACTTCCATGGAAGTTAATTGTTTACACCTTCATTATTGTTCCGGTTTAACTGCAAGTATTTATGAAACCTTTTGACGCTTTTTGTTGCTACGAAGAATAGGTATATCTTCCAAGACCTGATTTGGTCTACGTTACTTTTGTCACTTCGAAGATTCCTTTGTACCACGTCTAAACCTTCAATTTGTACGGACGATTCGTTATCGATCAAAATTCTGCTGTGCTAGTCTAAAGTCATTCTAATTATTGATTCTTATTGAGTATTAAATACTGTTTTAGTATACGAGTACTTGATTAATTTCGAACTACCGCAATGTTTTGTGCCGCGCTATTGGCTATCCCTCTTATTCCTTCCTTTGTGTTGTTTCTGTTACAGATAAGGCATAAACGCGCCTTCTGAGCTCAAAAGGCCGTTACGGTCCGAGTTTCCAAAGTAATATTTTTATTTTCGACAACTCCGAATTAGGTTTTCGTGCAGTGTCTCAACGGGAGGTTCCACGACGAACCGTAATCATTGTCACAATGATAGCCTACCCAATAACATAGAAGAATTGCATTTCCTCTGTGCCAATAATCATTAAAGCCTCAAAGTCGAGAACCATCGTCATGGTGTGATCTGCTGCACCGGCCACCAATCACTGATCACATAACCTGGCCAAGAAGAATGGTAGCAAAACTAAACGAGTAAGTTTCGCCATTTACCGTAAAACAATAGCGCTGAAAACGAATTTCTGTCACTACGAATTAAAAATGACATCTAATAGAAGTTACCCCTCGGCGAGAGTATCGCAAATTAATGTACTTCAAGGATCAAGCCCTACCCTAAATGTTTCCAACTCCTCAAAAAATTCGGAGGAAAGGGTATCGGAAAGTGAATCTTCCGAAGACGAATTTCTTGTGAACTGGGGACCGGAAAGTCCTGACCCCAATATATTTTTTCCCGGTGAGTCTGCCATGTTAGAATTCCTAAGCACGTGATACTTTTTTGTAGTTGGATGGGGCTCGCATGGTTTGGAGGAGGATCCTTGGAACGATAAGAATAAACCCTACGTCAAGCTGACGCGCTATGAAGACTTGGAGTTAAACGAAATGGAACAGCAAGGTGTTTTAACGGACCGCATTCTTGCTGCCTGTTCCTCCTACTTGGATAAATCGCCCGAGACTAACGGATTTGTGCTGTGCAAGGCAAATCTTTCAAAGAAGGTTAAAAATCCACGGCGTGACTTCCCTATGTATTTAATTGCGAATTTCAGTTCCTCAAAGACATTAGGATTATTCAGTTACATCACTTTCTTCAATACGTCGATTTGTCCTATAATGACCTAACAAATGTGGAATCTTTAAGTGAACTGCCCTTTTTGATGTATCTGGATGTCTCACACAACTGCCTTGGAAAATTACTGAACTTCAACCCTCCACTTTATTTAACGTACGTTAATTACTCGTTCAATAATGTGGCAAAGATTAATGATCTCAGCTTGTTTTGGTCACTGGTCCATTTAGATATTTCCCACAACCAAATTAAGGTGATTGAAGGGCTTCAAGAACTTAAGTGAGTCTCGAGTGCCTTACCAATATTGCAATGTGTTATTCTGCAGATATTTAAAACATCTCAATTTGTCTTACAATATGATCAAGTGCATCGAAAATCTGAATCACATGCCGCTGCTGAGTTTGAATCTTGAAAGTAATGGCATAGAGACGTTTGAAGAAGGTGAAGGCCGAGGTTTAAAGACATTGCCCGACATTTTGAAATTAAACTTAGACTACAACCATTTAAGTACAATTAAATTCTGTGAAGGAATGGACACACTTCAGTCTCTCACTGTGCAAGCCAACAATCTTAGAGATCTGTTGGAGTTATCTTACTTGAGAAACTTAAATTCTTTAAGTGAAGTCGATTTTAGAGATAATTATCTGAGTAGTTTAGATCGATATTTCGACGCTTGCATATATAACGTCAACTATATCTCGGTTCTTGATGGAGAGGTTATTGATGCCGAGACTAAGGCAAGCGCTCTTAGGGCACTCAATAAATAAGATAACACTTTTTTGTACCTATAGGTGTCTGCTAAAAATGTTTTTGAGGGATCGATTCAAAGTGAAGCCTTTCGGAACGCATCTACAGCTATGTTTATACAGCAGTTAAACGATCCAGTTTTAGGTCTCCCTATTATTCCATTTGACATACCTCCCGCTCCAATTATCATATTAGTTGGTCCGCCAGGTTCTGGCAAAAGCAAGTTGCTAATCAAATTTTGCCGGTTAAACCCGAAGTAAGTAGCTTTAGTTGATGTTGAAACTAAAGAGTGAATTTATTTAGGCGCACTGTAAGAGGTGTAAGTCACACTACAAGACCCAAGCTTGAAGATAACGACCAACACAGTTGGTACTATCACGTTCATTTGGATGAGTTTTGGTCCATGGCTCGCAATGGAGAGTTTCTCACCGTGTCGCAAGTACTGGGCCATTGCTATGGTTTTGGTAACGGAAACGTACACTTCTTCGTTATCATCACGCTTGCGTTTTTAGCTCAACAAGAATTGGCCAAACCCGTGGGCAGTTCGTCTGCTTTGATACTCCACATGGATCTCAAAGGTGCCCTAACTTTGCGCGCACAAAATATGAAATGTCATCTGGTGCTGGCAATGCCTAGCTCGCAAGAAGTTCACATTAGTAACATATTAGACAAGTACCGTGTTTACAACGAGACTATTATCAGGTAGGCAGCAATACTAAGACACGAAATTGCGAACCGACTCGATTTTTAGTCGGAAAGGTGCACCAGAAACAAAAAGCGCCCCGTTGAAAGCAAAGGAATTGTTGGAGAGGTACAGTACAATCGCACAAGAAATAGAGAAAGCTGCATATTATGACAGTGAAACTTGGTCAGATAAAGTTTCACTAAAAAGTAAAGAAGAAACGGAAAGTACAACGGATCTTGAAAAAACGTAGGTAAGAGTTGACTGAAGTACCATAATTTACTACTCAGTCCAACTTCAGCGCGAAATATGGAATATTAAAGAGCTCAATTCACCGAACCAAATCCGATGGTGCACCACCGCCAATTGGCAAAAGTGGCGGCGTTACATTTCAATCCAGAATGAAGAAAAGTCGGACTGTAAATGCCTCGATCAAGTTTGCCTTTCAATAAGCATGTCTGCGTTTCAGTTACTACACTCTTCGCGCAGTGTCACTTTTAACGAAGAAACTACCTCTGGAGCTCCGACGCCGTTGAATCAGAAAAGCATTAGCGGTACAATTCTTGGGGAAACTGAAGTTTTAAGCGTGCTAAGTAACTCAAGCGCTCCACCTACTGAGGATAAGGCGCAGAGTATTTGACGTCTATCCCTGCCAATTCACTTAAAGTTGCGATTTTAGATCAGTTCCCGTGCCCGGCTAAAACCATTACTGGTCCGAATAGCATGGCATTTTGTGTTAATGAAATACTGAAAACGCGAGACTCATATTTGGCTTTCCATCAGTCGAATCCTGGAGTTCTTTTGAGTACAGTGAGTATGAGCACCGACTTAAATATTCATTGTGATTAGATTTTCACGGACAGAGAAGATGAGGCGTTGGAAAAGCTAAAAGGTCTACTGAAATACTGTATACAAGCTCAATCGAAATCGGCGCCAAATTACGAATTTAAAAAGGATTCTGCGTACCAAGCAATTGTAGGCGCGAGGTTAAAGTCATTACATCGTGAAATCGAGAAGTAGGTAGTATGTCATTCCATCTGCACTCACTTACGGACCGATTTTAGTGAAATGTCTATTGGTCAAAAGCAATTGGATGAGTTTGCTCATAAGACCAAGCAAGGAAAACCGTATGAGAGCCATTTGAAAAGGTCAACTAAAGATGTAATCGAGGTAATGCGAGCCAGGCGTAATCAGGTGTTGGGCTATAAGCTACCCGATGATGTAGGGGTAGTCAACAACCCGTCACCTTTGGATTTATTAGACGATTAAATGTTTCTTTTTCTCAAATAAAAATAGTTACAATAAGCAAGTATATATTTTATCTGGCTACTCAGATATTCACAATGGTATACTTAAGTGGGAATGAGTTGACAAACTGAAACCCTGATATGACGATCATTAAATAATGTAACTCATTTAAAAATGCAAACCACAGTTCAGTTTTGTTAAAATACACATAAAAACAAGAAACTACTTGAATTTCTTTACGCATGGCCGTTATTATTATCAATACATTTACGATACCTCTTAATCCGTATTAAATGAAAACGTCATAGAGATCCAGAGATTCTCGCGTTGTTGACACTAGAGTAAGGTCAGCGCTCTTTGGTAATTGCAGATACTTTAGAAGACATAGAAAAACTCTATGAAAAAAAATGCTGATCGACTCGATGGGATTAAATAGGTTCTCGTTTTTTTCTGCGTGTTTATCTCGCCACAGCAGACACACCGAAACAGTAAAGTTCGCTGCTACCTTGGTCTGATCCTCTAAATGTCATGTTTTTTAAATGGGAAATCAAAACTCTTTCCCCAAATTCGGTTTTAAAATCAACCGACTCGATGAGGAGGAAAGGTGTCTGAACGCTCCTTTTAAATCTAAGCACTTACAAAATGTTTTATCGCAAATAATAAGGTCGTTTAGATGCAAGTTTGATTTACTATCTACCATTTACTTTCGCAATAAGGAGCATCTGTGCCAACATTACCTAACAAAGACAGAGATATATTTTACACTGTGGTAGAACACCGCACATGCGCAGTAGCGTCCGAATGTAAACAGCTGATAACCATAGGCGTCGCAAAAATGGATCACTTCATATTAAGTTACGAAGCCCATATTTTGTAACTTACGCATAGAATGAAATTGCACTTTATTTGCTGCTACGTTCACCGCAAATTAAACGCACCATTTCAATTATTACTTTCGTAAAACCTACTCGTGTTTTCTACTGTAATGTAATAACACCGTAAACCCCTCTATGGTCTACGGAAATAACACGCCAATGAAATGTCGGTAATGTCAATTTGACAGACAACTCAGTGCGCATGCTCGGTATTCTATTGTATAGCTATCTTCTTTCCATAAACCTCTCCCCCGGACAGATTGCCGGTCACAGAACACCTGATCCCGGTCGCGTATTGGCATTCTGTACTATTATTCAGAGCAGCTGTCTGAGTCGCAGTACACTATGGCTTTACGTTATGCGCAAATTGATAATACATTATGTACTGCGATTCAGAGCACCGATATGGTTTAGCCTAAACGCTCTATATAATGGGTTTCTACAAAGCGCGTGTACCTTAGCCAAATTACACTGCAATTTAGCAAATTTATACTGCGATTCAGAAAGAATGTCAAATCGTGCGAGAGAAAAGTTTGGTATCTCTTTTGATTGTCAGACACTTACAAAAAGTGTGTTTTCATTGTTAGCTTTGCAAGAAAAGTATATTTTTTGTGGTTTGTGTGTAATCAAGGTTCTCAAACTGCACTAAAATGAACTATAAAGAGGTTTTGGTTGAAATGTTCAACGAGAATACGTTTTCAATGATCGAATATTTGGAACAGTAAAACATGGATTTAAAGCGAAACTTCAACTTGAAAAAGGGGTAAAGATATTAACAGGGGGGTTTGAGGAGACAAGTGGTTAGCTGATTTAGTAATAAAACAAACACTAAACCGAGCACTAACCCATATCGGTGCTCTGAATCGGAGTATATAATGTATTATCAAATTGCGCATAACGTGAAGCCATAGTATACTGCGAATCAGACCAGAGCTGCTCTGAATAATAGTACAGAATGCCAATACGCATCCCGGTCTACAATGTATGTGTGTTACAGTGTTTTTCTTAAGATGCGAGTGGCTTCCGGGATATTATCGTGTCAATGTTGAACGAAAATATGTAATTGGAACAGATTTAATGGCTGAACGCTATATCTATGGAAGATTGTCTCACATAGTCACCATTGACACGGCCATGGAATAACTGCCATAAGAAATACGTAGTAAACTTCGAGGCAAAAATGCAAAGTTGATTTCCAAATGAAATACTAAGAAGCAAATAATTAGTATTACAAAAGCAATTACTTGAATGTAACATAAATATAACCCCGAAGGTGCAAAATAGTTATTAACTAAGACGCTAAAGAGTTACGGAAGTTGTTTCTTTGTTGAGGGTCGAATCTTGATATCATGACCCGTTAACCCATTTCACAGCGTTTCATTGGCATGTTAACAGAAATAAATATTATTATTATATAAAAAAATATTAATAATATTGTTCTAGTTCCCCCCATTCCTTCCACCCACACATCTCCACTCCGTTCCGTACATAATACCCCTCTGACAACTATCGAACAGCTACGTCCTTGTTCTAAAATAATTCTTGAACCTCCTCTCCCCCATTCACCACACCTGCGAGTCATCGCCCCCCCCCCTTTCCTTAATTTTATTCTCTTATCTGTTCATTTACCCCATTGTTTCTTTGTATTTGATACGATAAATATTTAATTTTTTTTACCTTTTTTACTCTTTCCTCCTTGCATTTCTTTTTTCTCCTTTCTCCTTCCAGGCTTCCACCCCCTTTCCCAAATCTCATCAGTCATCACCTTCGACGTTTCTACATTTAGCTCCATTCCTTTCCTTTCTATTCGTCCCATCATTTCCTTCATCTGTTCTCTCTGTTGTCATGATCACTGCGTCGATCACGTATGCGAGGGACCATATCTTTCTTGTTATCACTACTATCCCTCCACCTTGACCCTGTCTTAATACTTTTTCTCTTAAGTAAAGATTAAATAAGTTTGGACTAAGTGGGAATCCCTGTCTTTTAGTCCTTTACATGTCCAGAACACTACAGACTCCTTCCATCCTATTCTTGTCTCTCCATATAATTTATTCACGAACTTTCCCATCTTCCACACTTTGTCCCTTTCCACTCTTTCAAAAGCTGCCATGCCAAGTCCATGAAAATTTGTTTTAAAATCAAAACCTTTTACAGAAGATCTTAAGGTTGGCTTATTTTTGTTCTCACCTATGGAGTGGTAAATTCTTTCTTATGTACCTACTCCCGTTTAACATAGTTTTTCCTACAAGATTCATGAACTTAATAGTGGTTGCGTTCTTCAATTCCTCCAATATGTTATCAACTTTTTAGGAGAATTTTTCGAAAGGCCCGTGTCCATGGAACACCGGCCGGTGAATACGCCACTGTTACGTTACAATGTTCTGTTGCATGTCTGTACGCGCCTTTAGGCTAAGCGCGCACTTGCGATTTTATGTCGCACGATTGTTCAGTCGTAAAAATAGTCACGCGCCTAAATTATTTTTTTCACGATTACGATTGCGCCCAATCGCAGACAAAAAAAACGCAAGTGCGCGCCTAGAAAAACTCACAAGTTTCTGTATCCGTACGTCCGTAACCGTCATTCAGTGTTGTTTTCTTTTTTCGCTTGTCTTTGTCTCACCCGACGTTTGAAATTTCCTTAGTAAGTATGCCAATATCATTAGCAAAACAAACAAACAAAGCTCTCTAAATGCGTCCTAAATAAGGGTAGGTATTGTTTGCGTAAATTTTTTATTTCATAATACAAAGTGAAAATGTTTACATTAGTAATATAAATTACTACTTAAGTGTATCTAAACTTCACGAAAATTATGAAATTAACGTCATCGATAATAATAATATTAAGTAATGAAGAAAATAATACGCTACACTCTTTTCAATCTTATCACAAAGAGTTTAGGACAATGTGAAGGGGTGAAAAACAGTAGCAATACAGCCTTTTGAGATTTTAAACACAAAAAGCTCCTTTTAAATTAATTGGCTCAAGTATATACAGTCAAAGTACAAAAAAGTTAAGTAAATAAATACATAATTAAAAAGGAACTTTGTGTCGCAGCAAAGTGAAGGCTTACTGAATCTTTTACGTAATTTTTTAAAACAAAATTAATTATGGAAAAATCAGTAAACCCTGTTGTAATCCTTAGCTAAGACTTAAAATTAAATAGCTACACGCTAGCATGGCGTCAAGAGTGAGCCGCCAATTTTTCTAATTTTGCACATACTTCGTGGGTGGCGGCGGTACTCGAAACGAAGCTTTTGGGTGGTTGTGGTTTCGTCGCGGCGCGTTTGCATTCACCCTCCCATTGCGCTTTGCTACTGGAATGGGTCTATAAAAGAAATTCATTCATTCTTTGGAGTTGTGACATGCAGTTTTACGGTCGCACCTTAGTAAGGTCGCGCTTCCACAGTGAACCGCAGGTACCGTCACACTTTGGACATGGCCTCTCCATTGCGTATCCGCCGCATTCTGAGCAATCGAGCGAGACGTGGTCTTCGACCCAGGATACTCCGCAGGTGAAGCAACTGCTCATTTGTAATCGCAGCTCTTCGATTGTTAGAACATGCTCCGAATTAAACTGGGGGCTGCAACAGGTGGTGATATCATCCAGACTGTAGCTGAATGACGATAAGGAACTAGAAAGTAGGCTATTAGTCAAGGTTTGAGTAAGAATTGCGCGTGACTTACCCAGAGTTGGAGTGGTATCCTCGAGGGTGGACTCCTACCAGTGACATGTTAGACACTGTAAAAAAAAATAGGTTTATTAGTACAAGGGAAGTTCAAACATAGATAAGTTGCGGTGTGATTGGGAGGTGAAAGTTTGGGGGGAATGGTTTTCACAATATTATTGAAACCGCGCAAAAATTTTCCGGCGAAACCCTCAACTTCGGATGAAAGTAGGGCGTTGCGCATTAACCGTTAATCTTTGTAAATAACGGAAACCTTTTAAAATTTGAAACGGTTCCGCGGATATTTAAATATAAACGCCGCGATACGGCGCTATCGCGTACGGCTGATTAAAATTTAAATTTAGCTGGCACCCCGACGGCAACCTTGAACTAAACTGTTAAACGCGTTTCATTAAATCCAGCTGAAACCGCGATCGACAGGATTAGAAACACGAGCTTGCGTGTGATGCATGATCGATAAAAAAAAATTCGATACGCTCTATGAGCGCGCGGGTGACCCCTGCTCGTGATCATAATAAAAGACACATGGAAATGCGTCGTTTGTCCAGAAATTATGCAACTAGGAAACGGATCCCAAACATATATCAATATTGCCTTTCTAATTTCTCAAATATCATCGTGAAAGTCATGAAAGTAACAACGCGAAATGGTTACAAGTACGTTTGGGTAGTTCCCCTATCTCATTATTGATAAAACGGTCCTTGAATGATAATGACAACGATTACCTAAGCGACAGGTAAATATCCTTAACGAGCGCAATTTGCAAACAGTAATTTTTTTGGATCTGACACAATTTCAATCGATTGTTGAACGCACTTGATAGGACAAAGTACTCTAACGGTTAATTAAATTGGAGCGCTGAACGCGCCGTCTGGACCACTACGTCAATACCATAGGCGCCGATACGCCCTCGCCACTCTGCCGCCCCTATTTTCTGCCAATGAGCCCGACGTATCGATTTTGCAAATTTTTTTGATTGATAATGCACTCTCGTAATTTCCTGATGTACTTACATGGTTTGGGTTTATAATCCGAAAGGAAGTACTGGCGCCGAAATTGGCAAAAAACTATAACTTGATCAAACAAAGACGTGTACAACACAAGAGAGCTCGGAGGCAACTAATTTAATTGAGCGAAGTACGGTTTATACAATGGGTTTCGGCTACGTCAGCGACGGCGGCGTCACGATGGCGATGGTGGGAGGAACGTTATCGGAGAAAATCGGAAAAACGTACTATGAAATTTCACGCTCGGTAGAAGTGCATGTTTTTTTTCAATTCAATACGTCTTTACCTAAATAATTAGATTCCGAAGAACCTTGAACTCAAGTCATTAGTCAGTTACGTGATTTTTGTTAATTAAAAGATAACAAAATGGGTATAAAAAACACAATTAAAATTTGCGCCAGGTGAAATATTTGTTTAATACGTCGTTGACGTCACACTGTTTGGTTTCCACTCCACAGACATAAACAATAATTAAAAGCGACCGCCTGATTAAAATGGGATTGGATGTCTGCGTCAATTAGTTGCGGATTTACAGAAATGAGCGAACCCAATATGTTCGATTAGGCGAAACGAAACGTCAATTGATCCGCCCAACAAAACAAGGGCGAAGATGATAACAACTTTTTTTAACGATCCGGAAAATTTCGTCAATTACGGGGTCATCGTCATAACCAAAAGTCGATATTGCCGTGACGTATGCGGTATGCCGTCAGAAGTGCTTCTGAATAAACTAGTAAAGCAGAAAATGCGTTCAAAATTCAATTGGAATTTCGGATCTCTGCCAAAGGTGGAGCATTCTTGATTACTCTAATACTTTCGCTAATGAAGTCATTATTGTAAGAATGATTTTTATGATAAAACAGTAAAATCCCCATCACAATCCCCGGGTTATATATGGGCACAGATTTAATCCGTGATATGGGTTAACTGGGCTAGGGAGCCACTTTCTGGGGGGCGGAAAGATGTGCTAAATTATATTTTAGCATTGGCAATTTTGTGTATGGGTATGAATTAGTTACCAGTTTCTCAATAAAACAGAGAAGACAGCGGCGTCGCATCAATTGACAATTGGATTTGTACCGTACTCGACCGTGATCGGCAGGTGAAGGAAAAGTCGCGGATATTGCCATTATTGCGGGAAAAACACGAACACTAGCTGACTAGCATAGTAATACTGTTGAAAGTAATTGTTGGCATCACTGCTACTTTAGTTTAAAATATGTTGGCAATGTAGAAAACCAATAGTTGGTAGATAAGTTGTACCTTGTACTTGTACTTATTAGGTGTGTCAAATAAATTTTACTTTACCTAAAATAAAATAATTAAAACAGGTTATGTGCCCAGACGTTTTCTTTCTAAAATACAATTATTAAAACATAAGCTGTGTGCGTTTAAAAAAAACTGTGCGTGTTAAAAAAACCCAAAAACGGATAAATTTGTTGAAAAATGGCGTCATCGTCGATAATGGGAATAGAAGATGTTACTCTAATAGATAAATTAATGGGAGCTGAAACATTCCAAGTATGGAAATTCCAGACAAGCATACTGTTTAAAGCCAACGGGTCTTATGAAATCGTAAATGGCAACAAAAAGTTTACAGACCTAACAAAGGATGATGACAAAGAAACATGGGTCAAAAAAGACGCGCGTGCACAAAAAGTGATAATGACTACTATCGACAAGAAATTAATAATGCACATCATAAACTGTAACAATTCGCATGAAATGTTTGAAAAATTATGCACTATTTTCCAAAAGGACAGTGAACAACAAAAATGTAACCTGCTACAGGAATTCTTCAACTATAAATATGAAAAAGACTCGGACATGTCGCTACATATTAGTAAAATGGAAAACTTTGCATTCCGGTTAAAATCATTAAAGCAAGACATAACTGACGAGATGTTGATGTCTAAAATATTGTCGACACTCCCGGAACACTATAAACATTTCGCAACTGTCTGGGAATCAACTCCTGTTGCTGAAAGAAACTTAACCAATCTCACTGCAAGGTTAATTGCAGAAGAATCGCGAATGAAGAAAGACTCTGAAGAAAATGTGGCATTCAAAGCTGTGGAAAAACGTACAAAGGATGCAACACCCATAAGGAAACATTACACCGAGAAGATCTGCTATTCGTGCAGAAAACCAGGCCATTTTTCAAAAGATTGTAGATCGAAAATGAAGCAGTGTAAAATATGCAAGAAAACTAATCACAGGGAAGAAAATTGTTTCTTTCGAAAAAAGGAAGAACCAGAAGACAAAAAGGAGGGAAAAGTAGCATTCTTAACAACTGGAAATCTCAACGTCAGTAACAACTTCGTGGTGGACTCTGGTGCATCTTCACACATGTCTAACGATAAGAGGATGTTCAAAAACTTAGAAGAAATTCAAAGTGAAATCTCTGTGGCAAAGAAAAATCAAACAATTGAAGCACAAGGCAAAGGTACAATTGTCGGCGAAGCTTTGTGTGTTAAACAATGTGCTGTACGTACCAGAAATAAGAAAAAACTTGTTATCTGTTAGTGCAATAACAGAGAATGGTGGAAATGTGACTTTTGCAAAAGACAAAGTAGTAATAACTAAGCTTAATAAAGTTGTGCTGGAAGGCAGTAAACAAGAAAATGGTTTATATACGGTAAAACTGTCGTCAACATCTGATGTCGAAAGTATGCTGGCCGAAAACAACGAAAAGGTACAAGATTGGCATAGAAAATTAGGTCATCTAAGTGGGGCAACAATGAAAGAATTGATTGATGTTTCCGACAACCTGAATCTTTCCAAAAATGAATGTAAGGAATTGGAAAAGGTATGCGAAATATGTCTAAAGGCTAAACAAATAAGACAACCATTTGATACAATAAGATATCGAGCCAAAAGACCGTTGGAAATACTGCATGCGGATGTGTGCGGGCCAATTGATCCAATCACATGGGACGGAAAGAAATATTTTTTAGTTATACTGGACGACTACACTCATTATTGTGCAACGTACCTTTTGACAATGAAAAGCGAAGTAATAGACTACATAAAACAGTTTGTGGAAGAAGCGGAAGCTCTTCATAACCTCAGAGTGTCTAAAATAAGGTGTGACAATGGAGGTGAATTTAAAAATGAAAATATAAAAACATGGTGTATAAAAAAGGGAATAATTCTGGATTACACAATTCCTCACTCGCCTCAACTGAATGGAAAAGCGGAGCGATTAAACAGAACAATCATGGAAAAAGCTAGGGCGTTAGTATTTGACTCGCAGCTAGCCAAGGAATATTGGGGTGAAGCAATAAGAACAGCTACGTATCTACTTAATAGAACACCTACCACTTCCTGTGTGACTAAAGTAACACCTATTGAAAATTGGACCGGTAGAAGACCTAACCTATCAAATCTCCAGCTGTTCGGGGCCGAAGCTTATGCGAAAGTTTTAGGTTACCTGAGAAAACTCGATGTACGTAGCATGAAATATATATTCATTGGATACGCTACTAATGGATATCGACTCTTTGATCCTAATAAAAAAAGAGTGGTAATTTCACGTGATGTTATATTTAAACAGAACCAAAACGAAGGTGGAAAGGAAAATGCAGTGGTTCAAGTGGTAAATGACCGTCCACACGAGAACGAAGAGAAAATACCTGAAAACATTGAATGCAGCCCAATAATAGACCAGACTGGTGATACTACAGTAAATGAAGTATACTTACAAGAGAACGCAGAGTGATTAAATTACCAAAACGCTACGAAGACTATGTTCTACTAACGTACAATGAAGCTGTGAATGGGCCAGAAAGTGAACAATGGAAAGAAGCAATCGAAGAAGAGAAGGCATCTTTAACGAAAAACAATGCTTGGGTTCCTGTTGATAAATCACAAATTGAAGGAAAGAAAATTCTAACGAGCAAGTGGATATTCAAAGTAAAATCGGATGGTCGATATAAGGCACGTCTAGTCGTGCGTGGATGTCAACAACAATATGGAGTAGATTACTTTGAAACATTCAGTCCGGTAATAAACATAAGTTCGTTAAGAATAATGTTTGCTTTAGG